CATGCAGCTGCATGCTCTCAACAGATAGGATTGAAAGAGAGCTGTAACCCCCTTTGCAACAGCGGGGTGGGAGGAGAGTCTCTGTACTACACACACACACACACACACACACACACACAGAGAGAGAGAGAGAGAGAGAGAGAGAGAGAGAGCGCTATGTAAACATTGCATTGTTTTAATACACTTAAGGACACATGCCTCTCCTTCACACACAATTTCCATTCTTCCGCTGGGAATGCAATTGGCCACAACATCCATCATCCCTAACGGCTGCGCTGGATTGGGTCCCCCCCTTTTGTTTGGTGCCACGTTGGAGCTGGCTGAGTTGCGAGCAAAGTTGTCCCTGCAAACCCACTAGAGGCGTCCTACCCTCCCTTCCTGGTGCCCCCCTCCCACATTCACTTGCCTGTCCGGCTTCCCCCCTCCCCTCCCTTCCAAATGGTGTCTTGGCAAATGGGCAGGGACGAAGGGCTGGAGCGGAGGGCCAGGGACCCATTGGCCACGGAGAATGGCTGGGGGAGGGCCAGCAGAGGAGGAAAGCTGGCTGTGAAGTGAATGAGGCAGGTGGCTGGGGGCAAAGGGGATGCAGCCATGGGTCAGTGCCTACATGTCTTAGACTCTCTAGGCCAATGCAGACTCCCCAACATGAAAGAGCAAAGCAAAATACCCAGCCAAGGCAGCTTTTCTGCAGATTGGGATGAGGCCCTGGCAGGTGGGTTGACAATATTAATGAATCTTTTAAGGATGGTGTGTTGCTATCATCATGTTATATGATGCAGATAATAAGCTTTATCTTAAAACCAGGTTGGGACTCTAATTTGTGTGCTAGTTATTGGCCTATTTTATTAATTGATGTGAACATTAAGATCGCAACCACCATACTGGCTAGATGTTTACAGATGTTCTTACCAAGTATAATTCAACATTCCCAATCAGGGTTTATCAAAATAATCAAGAATCAAATTATTTATCATTATCGATTGCTATATTGGTATTTTGGTATAGACTCATAGCAGGTCCCACCTCCCCCCACCCTGCACCTGATGCCGAGAGTAGCTCCACAGCGAGATGGGCGGCAAACAAATTTAAGAATAAATGAATGAATGAATGAATGAATGAATGAATGAAGGAAGGAAGGAAGGAAGGAAGGAAGGAAGGAAGGAAGGAAGGAAGGAAGGAAATATGCGTCTTCCAAAATAATGTTGCAGTATCCAATCTGTGTCAGTCACCAGAACCAGAAATGTAGTCTTCCGAGCTTTCATGCTGGAACCCATCCTTGGGGAAGCTCCCTGAGAATGGGCTCCATCACAAGTCCAAAAGCTTAGAAGACTAAATCTCTGGTCCCAGTGATCGACACAGATTGGATCCTGCAAAGATTGGAAACATCCAAGGATGGAATGAACTCCTCCACACTCGATCAATGTGTATCGTTAAATGCAATAAAGGCCTTTGATATGCCAGTGGATTTCTTCTGTGGATTAGGACTTAATCCTTGCAACCTGTACCAGAATGATAACAGAATGATTTCAAGACTTTTGAGTGCAACATGACACTCAGCAGGCTGCCCAGTTTCACCCTTACTATTTAATTTTATCTGTGAATCTTGGCTATGATGCTAGGGCATTCGTTAAATATTAAAGGATTATTTGTGAATATAAATTCTTTCTGTAGTGAGGTTGATAGTATTTTGGCAATTTTGGAGTATTCATAACTGTCTGCCTAATTTTCTACTATTTTGGAAGGTGTTCTGATTATAAGATTGATATAAGATTTATAAATTGTGCTTACTTCCTTTGGGTCTTAATATATCAGTACAGTTAGTGATATCTACTAGTGATGCTAAATATTTGGGACTTTATATAGATTGACCAAAAATACTTCTAGATCTGTAGAAATAAATATTTTGAAGCTTTAAGGAAATAATTAATTGTATGGGTTAAATTACTTGCTCAAATTCTATCCTATTGTAGGATAAAATTAATATTAAAACAAATATTGTCCATTGCAAATAATGGGTTCACTTAATGACCACTATGCTTGATGATTGCCATATTTCCTTAATGACTGCTGCAAAAAAGGTTGTAAAAATGAGTGAGGTCTCACAGTGAGCCACATTATGGCCATCAGGATTTACGGCTGTAATTGCCCAGCTTAATTAGTCAAGGATCTATAGATAGCAGATTCAAAAAGAGCTAGGTAGATTTGAATCAAGGGCTAAAAGAGCACATTTTTCTTGGAGTGCAAGAGATCATATAAGGAAGTAATTGCTCCATTCTTTTCTGTCAGTCAGCCAGCCACTATTCAGAATCCTGGGTATGACATTTCCAAAATGGAGCTACTTCAGTAGATTATGGTAGTGAAGGATATGGAAACCAGGCTTTACGGGGGAAAAGCTGAAGATCTTTGATCCTACAGATGATCGTTCAGCTTTTGTGGACTTCTAATGAAGGAGAACTCACCATTTCATGTGGCAACCTCTTCCACTAGCTAACAGCTCCTATTAAAGAAATGGTGGAACAGAATCATTAAAGAAAGGATGTCTGGCCCAGGAGCCTTCCTAGCAGCATAAGCCCAAACTGCAGCAACCTCCACTGCTAGGTCCAGTTCATAGGACCAATGAGGGGTGACCAAGAACAAGACCAAGGCTCTTGTTCTCTTTCTACTCTGCCCCTGCCAGCTGACCTTTCCTCTTGCCTGAGGTCGGGGTCTCCCAATGGCTGTCCACGCAAACTTTGGGTTAGGTGGATCTCTTACATGAAGTTTTAAACCCTATTTTCCTGAACATTTGGAGAGGCTCAGCTTTTAGCTAGGGGATTGGATGGGTTCTGGCATGTTATTTGATTGATTGTGGATTTGGAGTATGTCAATGTGAGCCTTCGGAGGTTTCTGATTGGGGTGATGATACTTAGAAGGAAGAGACACACGTTCAATTTTAACAAATGGAAACTGCAAGCCTTACATCATCCTAATACAAGTTGCCTGCTAGGTAAGCTGTCATTTCTACTCAAGCTATTTTATTCTAGAGCCTTGCACAGCAGATGCTGGAGCCTGACAGAATTCAGTTAATCTCAAACAAGTTGCCCCATCAGAGCCCATCAATGCTTTTGCAAGAAGTCCCCAGAAATCCCTGCTTTGCCAGAGTGGGAAATCTTGGGAGAGGGCAAATCTCTTCCACAGGACTGTGGCATTGCTAGGAGCCTTTCTCTTGTACCTTTCTCAGCATCTGCCCTCTGACGCCACTTATTCCACCACCACCCCTGCCTGTTCCCAAGACTTGCTGGCATTTTGCAGTGCATGGGGGGTGGGGGTGAAGAAGGCAAAGGAAGCTGGCTGGCTGAGGAATTCTGGGAGTTGAAGTCCACAAGTCATAAAGTTGCCAAGTTTGGAGACCCCTGTCTTAAGCCATCCAGTTTCTTGAATGTGCACAACGCCTGAGGGGAACCATTTTCCTTTTCTTTCAAAGCTTCCGATGGGATGCCAAAAGCTTCAAACCAGACTTCTCCATCAAACCGACAGAAGGTTACATTTCTCCAGGAACAAGTGTTCCCTTTGAAGTGACCTTCCACCCTTGTGAGCAGAGTCAGGACATCTGCTATGAAAACCTCCTGTGTCACATCCAAGGCGGAGAACCTGTGAGGCTCACGCTGAATGGATTATGCGTGAGCGTCCCGCCTGTCAAAGAGGTGACTGGTGGGGCACCTTGAGCTGGGAACACCTGGGCAAGAGTAAGAATGGTCCAAATCCAGTCTAATGTGTAAATGGGCCACTCCTGGCACTCGAATGTAATGTAAGTTGTTACAGGAATCTTGGCAAAAGGAGCCAAAAGAGAGATTAAAACAGAGATGGTTGCTCTCCATCTACTCAGTCTCTGATGCAGCCTCTTCAAAGTCAGATAGCTTATCTGCATACCTCCAGAGATTTTTTGAAAACACCTGTAAGGCTCTAGTGCAGAGATGGGAAGGGTGGTGGTCTCTTTGGATCACTTGGGCTCTTTTCTTGATCTCTTCAAGGCGGGGGGGGCTCTCCATCCTTCTCTTATTTTGGGCCAATGATTTGTTTGGTGAGGTTTTCAAGAAAGGAAAGGTCTGCACTTCTTAGTAAACCATCCACACGTTACATTGCCCAACAGTGGAGTGAATGAAGAAAAGTGATTCTTCCTTGTAAATAAAATTCAGAAATATTTTTAGTGCTCATCTTTTAGTAAAAATGATCTAAAAAGGTGTTATAGACACCTCCTGATTTTTGACTACCATAAACTAACATGGCTCCTCCACTATTTCTTACAGGTGGTAAATTTCATATGCCAGGTGCGTGGAAAGCAGACACAGACCATCATGCTATCCAACAAGACTAACCAACCGTGGATGTTGCGGCCCATTATTGAGGGAGAGCAGTGGAAAGGGCCAGAGTACGTCAGGGTGGAAGCCCACCAGCAGAACAAGCCCTATGAAGTCACATACAGGCCTCTGGCTATGAATGTAGAAAACAGGAAGGACCAGGTATCCCAGAGACAAACAGCAAAAGGAGGGGAAAGATGGGGAGGGGGGAGGCTCGGAAGCTGAGCTGGATGAGGGTTGTTGTATACAGAGATCCTTGCATTTCTTTGTACATTCAGTTGGCATTTTATTAGATATACTGCCCATAAAAGCCTGGAGGCTATTCAACCCTGTTCCTTTTGTGCATGAATCCCATCCAAGCTAATTCTTGACTTAAGCAGAAAGTAATTCTGTGGTTGCTGCTACTACAGATGCTTCTTGTTCACCAGCAGCATTTTTGGCCCCTTTATTTTTGTTGTGGTTCTTCAGTGCTGCTCAAGGTAGCTTGGATGGAAAGTTCCTATCTCTTTCAATAGAGGGTGAACCATAAGCTGAGAATTAACATGCAAAAAAGGCTCTCTGTAGCAAAGGTAGAGGCTGAATCCAGGGCAGAGAACTTTCATGAGTGGCCCCCACAACAGCCCTTGGGAGGGAAGGGGTTCCTGGCCCTTCTTGGGGTATTTCCCAAACTCTCCATAGCAGAAGGCCTGCAGTGTCTTGTTCAGTTAGACTAGCTTCTCTTTGGAGGTCCCAGTGCTCTGATTTAGCCTTAGCTACCTAATAGTGTTTAAAGCTTTGGACCTGGATAGCTGCTTATGAGCAGGATCACCCAAAGTTTTCTTCTGTCTGGCCCTAGGTCCACCCCACTTGTCCTGGAGCTTAATTGTTACATCACAGCTGCCCATCACAGGGGAAGGGAGCTTGTCTTAGCTAGTTTGACTCTTCAGAATTCTTGCAAAAGCGGGTTGAGAAAGATTGTTCTCCTAATACTCCCCCGAGTAGCCTCAATCATGGGAGATGTGACCATCTCAGTTGGGGATGCCTTGGAACAGTGAAGAAATGTCGCCTGAAACGCTCCTCTTTTCTCCAGGGCTCCATCTTCTTCCCCCTCCCAGATGGAACAGGACTGCTTTACCTCCTACAAGGCACTACTGAGCCTCCCAAGACAGCTGGAAACATCATGAGGGAAATTCCGTGCAAAACATCCTACACGGAGCTGCTTCCTATCACCAACTGGTTGAACAAGCTGCAAAGGCAAATGTGAAAAAAGGGCTGGGCAGGGCTGGCAATTTCACTCCAGGCAGCAGAGGAAGACCTAAGACAAAGGGGGGAGGAGGAGGCTGCAATCACACAGGATCCCACAGGTTTCAATGGGTGATACAGTTTGCACCCCCAGTTTTCCTTTGGTTGTTTGAGGCCCCCATTGTTTTCTCCAGCCATTGATCTGAGGTTCTACCAAAGGAGAGCAGTGTTTGTTGCCTTGAGTTATTTGTAAAAATAATGGGGGGGCGGGGATCTAAATAAAATTAATCAATCCCTAAGAGCCCTATGGTTAGCTTGTCTTATCTTGCCTGCTCTTGGAGGCTTCTGTGCCTCTTTGCAGAGAAAAGTAAAGCACTGTTAGAATAGAAACTTTCCCGAGTGTCAATGGGTAAGAGTGCCTGGCTGGGTCAGAACCTGGAGACCCCATTCACAGGGAGTGTAATTGTTCATTAAACTGGACTGGAAACAGATAATCCAAACAGCAAGTCTCTCCTTGCTAATATTTGTTTGGAAGGATAACAACTCCAGTCCTCCTTTCAAATTGTGTATGGCATCACTAGGATCTTTTCTCTCTTGTGAAAGCAGGGGCCAGTCTACACTGCACTGGCAACTTGTTAATTTCTTCCACACAGCAAGAAATTAACCCGACCATTCCTGCTGCAGAGGGTTCCATTTTGGCTAGAATGTTTCTTTGGGATTTAACAAGAATGTTATTACTATTTATAGTTGGAAGGTGGCAGTGAATGTTGCAAATGGCAACCATGTGACTACAGGACACTGCAATTATTAAGCACAAGCCAGTTGCCAAGTGCCCAGTTCACAATCCCATAACCACAGGAGTACTGGGAGAGCTGGAACTTTGAGGACCATTGTGCCAACCAATCTATGAATGGTCACCGAGGGAGTGGTTGTTAAACAAGGCCTGCATGTTCCTGGGTAGTTCAAAGGCAGTTGAGGGAACATGGAGTCAACTTGTGTGCAGGGAGAAAATTCTGCTTCTATCATTCAGGGTCCAGGGTTACATTCTGAGCCTAATGTTGCAATTGAGATATATTTTTTTAATTAGGTTTCTAATTATTTTAATTATCTGCATCAAAATAATCCTGCTTTTTCTTTGTTAATTGCCTTGAGCACCATTTTTGGCAGAAGGTTGGGGGATAAATTAGAGAACTGGATCTATCAATCCATCTGAAAACTGAAAATGCTACAGAAGGGTAGCTGTGGTTATTTTTATTTCGTAGAAAAAGCGCAGTGGTAAAAAAACTGGATGGAGTTAATCTTAGGTTGGGAAACTGAATGGCTCCCTCTTCTGACTAGGTTTCGGGTAACAGTTGATATGATAAAGCCAGAAAAACTGGAAGTCACAACCACCCTGAAAACTCTGGACTATATTGAAGTGCCAGCCTCCACCAAGAAGGACCACAAGCTCACCTTCTTCTCTTACAAAGAGGGCATGTACACCGCCAAGGTAAAGAGCCCCACTTGTGTCTGTGACCCGGGCAGCTTCTCGGGCTTTTTCTTGACCCGGAGCAGTTCTTTGCTTGTCCTGCTGAACCTTTGGCACAATCTGATTCAGAAACTTAAGTACAATTTTCTGGTGACAATTATTTGGTCATTGCTTTTCACAAGAATATGCATCAGCTGAGAAGAAATATCCTGCCTTTTACGCCTTTTTTCCCCATAGCCTGACCAAGCAGGACCGCTGAGAGAGACGACCTCAGAATTGTTTCAGGGATGCTCCCTGCCTTCCACTCAAAGGCCTCTCAGTAGCAGACAGGCAGGAGGGCCAGCATGGATGCCAGAGGCCTTTCGTCTTCAATCTGGCCGGTCTTGTATGGCCTTCAACAGGACGACTAGGGCTGCTTGATTAGATCATTCTCAAGACTCTCCTGTCATTTCAGATCACCTTCCGCAATGAGGCCACCCAGGAATTCTTATTCTATCTGATCACATTTAAGGCCACCCCATGTGGCCCACTAGGCACCCTCGAGTTGACCACAGCTGTCCGGCAAAGTACCTCCTCCTCAGTCAAGGTGGAAAACCCGCTGCACTACCAGGTGTCCTTCAATACGGACTGCAAGGTGCCAGACATCAACCTGCCTCCTCAGTTCACGGTGCCTGCTCAGTCTGAGGTACAATTGTGTCTTGGTAACCTGCCAGGCCCCAGAGTTCAGCAGACCCTTAGCACCTTTTACCCTGCCTTCCTGCTTGCCTTTCATTTCCATTCTTTGACAAACTTGAGCTTCCTTTCCTTTCCTGGCTTTTGTTTGATCCTTTCCTCTTTCTTTCTTCCACCTCTTGCAGTGATGTTATAGAAGCCTTACCTCTGAAGGAGGCCATGTAATATGCCCCCTTCCCAATAATGCGCCATTATTGGATACAACAATCCTGGACAATTTGAGAGGATGATCAAGCAATGGTCCAGAGGAAACAGATTAACTGGAGCGATTCCAATCAGGTCTCAGGCCAGCATATAGTACAGAGACAGCACTGGTGATCTTTGCCGGTGTTCCAATAGTCTAATCTTTCCTTGAAAATGTTTGTTGTTTATATATTGAAAGAAACTTTTTTGTTATTCTTGACATTTGTTGCATGTCTTAGTCCATTCTGAATCTTAAGCCTTCCTCCTTCCTTGCAGATTCAGGCTATTTGCTGATATTCAGTTCTAGTTATCTTTCCTTTTTTATAGTTGTCCTTTTGTCTCTGTTTGTCAGAGTAGCAGCTTTTACTACCACCAGTCACAGTACTCTACAAGGGAGTAGGGAATGTGGTTCTCCTCCTTTCCATGTGAGTGCTCCAAGGCCCACAGGACAGGTGGAGAGAGGTGGACTCCATCTTTCCCTCACTGGTGGGCTGCAGGGCTTTGATCCTTTCCCCTTTTGTTTAACATCCACATGAAACTGATGAAAAAGATCCTGCACTGGGTCTGGGTCAATTATATGTCTTAAATCACAAGACCCTATTCCATGGTCATAATTTGAGGATTACCTGAATTCCTGAAGATTTCATGGAGTAAGACCTGAGTTTGCTACCCGAAAATGCTTTCTCTCTGGCGCTCTTTGTCACAAACAGTCCCTCACGTGGCTAGCATCTTCTTGGGTCTCCTTCTCATGCTCTATCTTTTCAGTGGTCTTCTTTTACTGTTCAAAAATGCTTCCCTGCTCCTCTGACCTTCAGTTGAGGTGGCTCCCTTTCCCTGGTGAACCCCTCTTAACTGACTGTGGAGGGAGGAAATTTGAGGCAGCAGCATGGGTGGTTCTTTGCTGCCCCTGTTGTGGCCTGTCATACTTTGTGAGTTATTGTATTAACACATTTTGGTAGACTTTCTAACCACACAGCTAAATGATCAGAAAATGTGATTCTAATGTAATTCGTTGACTGTGGGGACCCCATACCTGCCTTTCTCTTCTAGGCATTGTGGATTCGGAACTCACCTCGCTTTCCCTCTTTCTGTTTGGCTCCCCCATCTCTTTTGTGCCCTGGTTCTCTTCCCTATCATCGCCCCTCAGTCCTGTGGTTCTCCTCCTCTTGATCCCGGGGGACAGATGGGAGGGCTGGAGGGCCCAGGACCCTCTCCTCCTGGCCCCTTGACAGAGCCATTTCCTGCCTTGCCAGGGAACGCTGGTCTTCGAGTTCCTGCCGATGAGGCCCGGGGAAACCAGTGGGCGCCTGGCTCTCAACAGCAGCGAACTGGGCTCTTTCCAGTACGATCTGATCCTGAAGGCCACGTCGGCCCACCCAGAGAAGCCCCTCACTTTCTCCACCATGCTGGGCAGCAGCCAGAGCTTGGTGGCCAAGATCGTCAACTACACCCGCCAGAAGACGGAGTATTCCACCAAGGTGAGCTGCCAGGGAGGCCCTTGGCGAAGTGGGGGTGGCGGCGGCGGGGGGGGGGGTGTCCCGAGCTAGGCCGACGCGCCTCTCCTCTCTCCCCGCAGATCGACAGCCCGGACTTCCAAGCCGAGAAGGTCATCAGCGCGCCCGCGGGTGCCCAGACGGGCACCGAGGTGGGCGTGGAGGTGACGTTCGAGCCGTGCCAGCTGGGCGAGGCCCGCGGGACTCTCCTGCTCTCCTCGGCGGCGGGCGGCGACTACGTGATCCCTCTGCGGGGCACGGCGCTGCCCCCCCGGCCGCAGGGCCCCGTGCAGATCCGGCTGGGCGGCACCGCGTCGCTGCCCTTCAAGAATGTCTTCCTGCAGCCCACGGCCTTCAGCTACGCCGTGGACAGCGCTGCCTTCTCGGTGCGCGCCGCTGAGACCATCCGCCCCAAGAAGACGGCCACCATCTCCGTGACCTTCGAGGGAGCCGGCGGCGGGAACAAGGCGCCGGTCACCGGCAAGCTGGTGGTTTCGTGCCCGCGCGCCGCCGGGCTGGGCTCGCCCGTCAGCTGGGTCTACTACCTGCGGGGGGTCCCGCCCGAGAAGTAGCTCCTCCCTCGCAATAAAGTATTTCTGCGAAACGAAAACGAGTCCGGCGCCTCTTTTGGGACAGGAGGGGTTCCAGGTCGGGGGGTCGCGGTTCCGGTCCCTCGGCCTCCACGCAGGGGGCGCTGTTTCGCCCCGCGGGATGGGATGACGTCACGTCGGGAGGGAGGCGCGCTTGGGCTGCAGTTGCCCCGGAAGCAGCAGGCGCGGCGTCATGTGACAGCCAACATGGCCACCGCCCGGTAGCTGAAGCCGTCGCCGGCCGCGATGAATCCGGAGAAGGACTTTTCGCCGTTGACGCCCAGCATAGTGCGCGCCCTGAACGACAAGCTGTACGAGAAGCGGAAGGTGGCGGCGCTGGAGATCGAGAAGTGAGCGCGGGGTCGGCCGAGTTGGGGGCGGTGAGCCGGGCGGGCTGGGGGCAGTGAGGCAGACCCAGACTCGGCTCTCCTCTTGCAGGCTGGTGCGCGAGTTCGTGGCGCAGAACAGCGCGGCGCAGATCAAGCACGTCATCCAGACGCTCTCGGTGGAGTTTGCCCTCTCTCAGCACCCCCACAGCCGCAAAGGGGGGCTCATCGGCCTGGCCGCCTGCTCCATCGCCCTGGGCAAGGTGGGCGCTGCCGGGCCAGATGCGGGCGGGCCAGGCTTCAGCGGCCGGCATTCCGCTTTGCTCGGGCTCCGGAAGCCGGCCAGAGAAGCGGGCGGGGAATGAAGGCGGGCGCGCCCGGGAAGAAGGCTGGCGTGTGGCTCTTGCCAGTCAAGGCAGCCCCCCCCCCCCCCCCGAGAGAGGGCTGAAGTGAGGCGGGGAGTGAGCGGGATTGGAGATGTCGCCACTTCCCGTCCTAGGAGAGCCCGGGGTGGCTGAGGCGTTGCCTGCAGATAACTGGAAGGGCTCTGGGATGAGTGGCTGAGATCCTGGACGGTGTGACTGGGATGAAGTCCCCCAGGCGAATGGAGTGGTGTCTGAGGTGGCTACGTGACAGCTGTGGACCTGTAGTTAATTCCTCCTTTTCCCTACAGGCCACCATGGTCCAAAAGGTCCACCAGTCACACATGTTCATTTTGTTATGGGAAGCAGTCTGCAATGCCAGGGCATCTGCTTGGTGTGTCCTTGGGATGCCAGCAGTGTCCCATGGTGCCAACGAAGCTTGAATACCATTCTGCCTCCCTTGCATTCCAACCATCCCACTCCCTGTTTTTGTCAAACTGCAAGTGAAGAAGAAATGTAGGTGAAAGTGTGGATCAGTCTTGATGTGCTGAACCCCCCCCCCCAACGATAGACCAATAAACAATAGTAAACATATATACACATAATTACTTAAGCACGTACCACTGCAATCCCTATTAGGGCTGCTGAAGATGTTTAGTGTGAAACCTCTTAACTAACCTTGCTGGCCTAACATCTGGAGCAGCCATTCACTCAGTGTCCGCTAACAAGCAGCCTTTCCATAGCACTAAGATATTGTAGTTTTTCTTTGTGGTATCTGGAATCAAATATCCCTTTGACCTCATAATGTTCTTCTCCCCTAACTAGGATAGGAGGAGAAGGTACTTATCTGACCGGTCTCAGTCCAGAGTTTCAAAAGGGCTTTAAAAGACTGCAGTGAAATACCGGATGGACCTGCCTAAGGCTTTTTGGCAATCTCAACTCTTTTCTGATCTGCATGCCTCTTATCTAGCCTTATTGAAGGCTTCACTTATGGTACCCCTCATGGCTTTCAGACTATCCATCCACTCAGCTAATGACCCTCTTCAATGGGCACAAACTCAGTTCCTGTAGTCACCTTGAAAGGGATAAGACCTATGCACTGAGTTATTATATGCCACCTCCGCAAAAGGCAGAGGAGTTCAGGCCAATTAGTTGCTGATAATTTACATAACAGCGCAGGTATTGCTCTCACTGAATTAGTTCGTTTAGCAGCTCCATTGATACTAGGATGTTAGGCAGAGCTGAGTCCTTGGAAGGAGCCTATGGCTTGTTTGTTACTTTGGGAGGAGTTTGAAATTGTTAGTACTGAGGAAGTGGACTAGTTCTCAAAATTGTAAGTTCAGCCATCTGAATGTTTGTCTTGTGTCCTTGAGAAGTCAAGATTTTCTTGGGGGAGACATGAGATTGGGCCCTGAGGCAGTGATGAATCATTATTTGACAAAAAGGAGAGTAGTCCTGCCCTCAGCAAGACATTGCAGATCCCAGCCTTGTTAGGCAACTTTTGTCCTGTGTCCAACCTCCTTTCGAGAGAAAATTGTTGAGAAAGTAGTCATGCTACAGCTTCAGAGAACTCTGAGACAATGGATTATTAGTCTTGTTATTATTGGCCTTCATATAGGATTACAAACATTGGTCATACTTATGGGAGCAGAATGAAGATGGCATCCATCTTTGCTCTCCTTGACTCTCATTGGCCTTTGAAACCACTGACGGTGATATCTGGACTGACTTGAGGACTTGTGGAGGGTTCTCCTCTTTCCTATGGGATCAGTTCTAGTTGGTATTAATGGGTTGGGGAGAGATAAATCATAGCCTCTGCTTTCGGAGGCGCCTCAGTGCTTGGTGTCCTTTACATGCCTGTTTTAACATCTATATGAAACCGGTGGGTAAGGTGTCACCTGTGTCCCTATCTGACAAATGGATGAAGTAGAGGTTCCGTCTTGATGTCTGAAGGCTGTGGAGAGCTGAGTGGTACAGAATAGGTGTGAGCACAATCATAGCACTATGAGGGCTTTGGGTTTTACCATCTCCAGCCAAGGGTTTTCCATCTCTTCTATCAGTATTTCTCTACTGTGGTTATTATGTCTGCATAAGCCATTTGATGACAATGGATGGGTTGCATTGCTCTGAACAGAACTGGTTCTCAATTCGAACGTCCCTTTGACCTGTAACTCCTGGCAGAAGACCTTTGCACAGATTGCCAATTGTGCCCTGTCCTGCATTAGGAGGCCTTGTTCATAATTCATTCCTTGGTCACCTTCTCTGGATTACTGCAATACACTCTATGTAGGGCTGCTCTTGAAGGCCAGTGAGTAGATCCAGAATGCAGTGGCATAGGCAGTCGTAACTGCACCTTTAAGTGCACTTGTCACACCTTGGCTTGGCAAGCTGTGTTGGCCTTCCCTCTGCTTCTGGTGCAGTTCACGTTGGTTGTTACCTCTACCGCTTTTCATGCTACAGGGCCAGGTTATTTCCAGGACCACTTCTCCTTGATGGTTTCTACCCATACTACTCAATCCAGCGTGCTGCAGGTCCTGTCAGTCTTATTAATGACATTATATACTACCCAGTTCACAGCCTATGAGTGGTTTACAATCCCTACAAAAGTCACAGTTAAAAGGGGGAGAGAGAGTCCTCCAGCCAGCATCCCCACCCACCCCAGTGTTGCCATTCACTCTTGCCAGGGGTCAGAGCCAGGTTTTTGCATTCTTCTGGGAGGCTAGCAGAGTAGGACCCAACCTTACCTCAGGGGCAGGATGTTCCACAGCAGTGGAGAAGGCAGTCTTTCTAGACCTTGCCAGTTGAAAGTTTTTAACTGATGAGTCCATAACATGCCTTTCCTGCTTGATCAGGGGGGACCAGTCAATGTAATTGGGGCAAGATGGTTCCTCAGGTATCCTGGTCACATAACCTACACAATTGAACACAACCTACAATTGAACCTAGAAGCAATCTGGCACCCAACACAGGTAACACCCAACAGAGATGTTACCTGCATAATCCTAGGGGTGGCCAGAATTGAAGGTACCACCGCATTCTGCATCAGTTACAGCTTCCAGATACTCTTCGAGGGTAGCTGCTGTACAGTGTATTGACGTTGTTCCTTCAGGAGATGAGTATGGCATGAGAGAAGAGCTTCTCTGTCTAGGAAAGGCCACAATTGGTGCACGACACAAAATTGAGCAAAGGCCCTCCTAGCCATGCTGGCCATCTGCTCCTTAAGCAGGAGTCGTGAGTCCAGGGGAATCGGCAGGTTGTGCCTCAGGGCTGTCTGGGACAGTGCTGCCCCACGCAAATCCAGAGCAGAGACAGAAGAGCCTCTCGGCCACAGCTCCTCTGTCTTCCCATGGCTCAGCCTTTTTTCCTCCCTCCAGACATCTGGAGCCTCCAGGCATTGCGAAGAAGCACCCACAGCATCACCTCATCACCCTTGATGGGGAAGTACAATTGGGACAGATGAGCTCACCCAGCGGCTTCCTGTAGATGTGAAGGGGATGAGGACAGTGGCACAAACACCCACACTACAAATTAGGTTTTTCTCATGTCCTTTCTGAGAGGGAAGAATTGTAGAAATGTAGCAGAAAAAGTAAAAGTGAGCTATTGGTTCATGTTTACAAGCTGAATTTAAGCTAAACTTGGATAAACTAAGAAATTGCTGTCGGAATGTGATTCTGAGTCATTGTTTTTTGGCTGAATGAAGCTGCTTTCTTCTTGGGGTCTGCATCAGCATTTGGGATGGAGGGGGATTCAGAGACACTCAGGACAGCAGCAGTTCAGAAGAGGAGCAGACCAAAAGCAGGACTTAGCTGCTCCTTTTCTCCACTCATTCCATGGGAAGTCTCAGCAGCGAGTTCCTCTGTGTGTGGAGAGTCCCTGTCTTGGTCGGAGCATCCCTTTTAGTGAGTGGCATCTTGGGTCAAACTCCAGGCTCAGCTGTCCCAGGTCATGGGGATGGAACAGAGGCTGAAAAGATAACAAGCAGTCAAGAATGCCCTGCAGGCCACAGTTAGTGGTGGTGGTGGTGGGGTTCTTTCACTTAGGGCAATGGAGGGGAGGAATCGCATCTTAAAGTAGTAGGACCCACGATTTTTGATGGCTATGAAATTGGCATTGGGAGACCCAAGAACAAAGAGGTGGTGATTGTCTCCCCTTGCCATGCCCGAGGAGGGGAGACCTTGCTAGGCCAGTCCTGATGTTCTTCATTGTGGCTCGGTTGCTAGGATTCTGGTCTGTACCTGAAGGAGCTCATCGAACCAGTGCTGACGTGCTTTGGAGATGCTGACAGCCGGTTGCGCTATTATGCCTGCGAGGCCCTGTACAACATTGTGAAGG